TTGTAAGAAAAATATCCATATTCAAAACGTAATAATCACTTTAATGTAGCTTGCACCAACAGTTGTACACGGAAGCAGTTCAGGGAGGATGACGTATGAGGTCGGCGTTGCGCATGCGTGAGTCTCGTGAAAACCAACGTTTGCTAACAGGAGCAAAGGAAGCAAAGTTTCCTTACTTTAGCAAAGGTAAACCAGTCTCCTCTGTGCTTATATCGAAAGCCTCTGACATTCTTCTTTACAAATCCTCGTTTTGTACTTCTAATAAGTGACCGGTGTTTTGTTTTGATCTCTCCCCTGCGCTTCCGCGTTCTTCACTTCTGAGCGGCGCATTCGCAAAGCCGACTTCTTACGTCATCCGCCCGGAACTGCTTCCGTGTAGGACTGTTGGCGCAAGCTACATTAAAGTGATTATTATGTTTTGAATATGGATATTTTTCTTACAAAAACGCATAGATTCGCTACAGGAGGCCTTTGTTCACCCCCCGGAGCCGTGTGAGACACTTTTTTTAATGGATGGGCGCTTTTTATTTAACTTCTTTTGGACTGATGCATGCAACACCCGCTGAGTGGCATTAAACAGCTTGAAAGATCAGTCTGAAAGAAGAAAGTCATATACACCTAGGATGACTTGAGGGTGAGTAATTTATGGACTAATTTTGATTTTTGGGTGAACTAACCCTTTAAGTATATGTGAGAGGAAGTGACGTTCGCTGCTATAAACACCTATCTGAAGACCAGCCAAGTTTCACTTCATATTTCTATATATACTGTGCAGACTGTGAAGTTCCTCGAACCATAACTGCACTACAGATGGTGTCTCAGGTTTCAGAGGGGTGAAAAGAACAACTAAAACCATATACACGCTGCTCCTTACATGCTACACCAGGCCCATTTTATATCACTCTCAGTGCCACAATACCAGACTCTCACATGACACAGTAAAGTTGCTGAAACTGGTGTTTCTCTCAGAGGGAAATATTAACATTCATAGTGGTATGATTATGCAAACTGACTGATTCAACAAACTACGCCACATGCACTGGCAACATGCCGTTTGTAAAGCAATGAGGAAGTTTCTCTGACTTCATGCCTTTGCTGAGAAAAATTTCACTGTTTTTAGGGTTTATAGAGGATCTGCTGTGAATCTGTCTGTGTGAGATGTTTTTTTTTTTTTTGCAAGTAGATTACTGCCAGATAGGGTCCAAAATGAACACTGAATAAAGTGACAAATGTGACAAAATATACAAAGAAAAAAAATGTAAGGAATACATTGAAGGAAACAGAATACATCAACAATGTGTACAAAAATAGCTTAACTACAAGATGGAAATAATTATTAATATGGATTAAAACGAACAAATATGTGCAAATGGGCTCAGAAAAATCTACTTATCATTGACAGATATATGTTCCTGTTTTAAGCATAAACTCACTTTGTTTTAATCAATTTCTCAAAAAAAAAAAAAGAAAAAAGAAAAGTCAAGTCTTCAAATATCTTCATTTGCATCTCATGTAAATGTATCTTGATGAAGGGGAGGAAAATCAGGGTATTTTCCGATCATTCATTTTTAATTTAATATTGAAATCTGAAAAATGAAAAAAACGGCACATTTTTCATTTTTCATTTGTTCAAACAAAACGAAAAATCAAGAATTTGGCTTCATTTTTCGTTTTTACGTTCAGGGATAGAAAACGAATAAGCAACTTGAATATTCGATCTCTACATGTGGGCGGGAATGAAACGCCCCTCTCCACTGATTGGTCAACCAAACATTTAATAGTCCTAAAAAAACATAATAAGAGTCCTTCGCTTCTATGGATTCTTAACGTGTTTATTTCTACTACATTTGATCTCTTTCTCTTCATCAAACAGCCAGATTAACGAATGGCTTGACACAAACCGTACCGAGGCAGAGCCTAGACAGAGCTTTCTTTTGTGTAGGCATAAATTCTACAGTGTGTTGCGCAGCTTTGCCACACAGATTTTGATAGTTAGCTATAATAGATCAGGCGGTGTGCCAAAGGACCAAAGGCTCTGCCTCGGTACAGATTGTGTCAAGCCATTCATTAATCTGGCTGTTAGATGAAGAGAAAGATTAAATGTAGTAGAAATAAACATGTTAAGAATCAATAGAAGCGGATGACTATTATTATGTTTTTTTTTTAGGACTATTATTATGTTGTAATGTTTGGTTGACCAATCAGCTATTAAAGATGGCGCCGTTGTGTGTGAGGTGCCGTCTGTCGCTTGGTGTGGTGTTAAGTTTGTTTATTTTATTTTTAATGTTTTATTCGACGCAGTGTACTTCGCTGGTACTGACATATGACCGTTTATCGCTTTTAAACCTTCAAGTCATTTCAAGCAAACTGCTCAATCAAGCGCAAAACAGCTCTCATTATGTTCCCCCACCCCTACTGATGTCCATTCCTGATTGTCTTCGCCGTTGGCCATGCTCCCTTCCGGCGAGAAAGCGCAGGAGACGACGCGGTAAACGGGGTGGTTTAGCTGTTAAGCTGAAGCTCCTTCTGGCACACCATCGGGAGTTTCAATCTTCACTGGGCCTCAATGCGGAAGGCTCGGACCGGAATCGTTTTATCCACCGGCGCTCTCTGGAACCAGTACGAGAGTGGATTACTCCCTTGTTTCCGACCGCCGCAGTTTCATGCGCGGGTCATTGCTCTACCGGTTTTCGCCGTGGAGGAGTGCACATGGGACATCTCCGCACGCTACCGCGGGCAATGCAGTCAGTGGAGTCCAGCGATAACCCCCTATGGCTAAAGATGGCCTTGATCAACGCCAGATCGGTGATAAACAAAACTTTTATTATCAATGATTTTATTTCTTCCCGTGACTTGGATTTCGTCTTTCTTACTGAAACCTGGCTCACGACTGGGGACTCAAGCCCCTTTTCTGAACTGCTACCTACAAACTGTTCTTTCTTCAATTCTCCTCATACTACGGGCCGGGGTGGAGGCTTGGCCTCCATCTATAAAGACACTTTTCACTGTCACTCTGTCTCTTTTAATGAATACAGCAGCTTTGAATTGCAATTATTTGCTCTGGAACTTTCTGATCCATTCTTGATAGCAGTGATTTACCGTCCTCCAAAATATAACAAGGACTTTTTAACTGATTTTGCAGATTTATTGGGGGAATTCATACCGAAATATGATAAAATTCTAATTCTGGGAGACTTTAATGTTCATGTTTGCTGCACTGATGACCATTTAGCTAAGGATTTCAACAATTTATTACATGCTTTTGATTTAGTTCTACAGGTCAATGTCCCTACCCATCAGCATGGACATACACTTGACTTAGTATTATCGCATGGTTTTTCTCTCTGTGACCTTGAGGTTTGTGAAAATGGTTTTTTCATTTTATTTTTTTTGTAAAGCACATTGGACAACCATGGGTTGTTATTAATGGTGCTATATAAATAAATTTGCCATTGCCATTGCCAATATTAAATTAAAAAATGAATGATCGGAAGATACCCTGATTGAGGAAGATATTCATTTTTGCTGTGCCACGACTTTATGAATTTAAGACTTTCTGCTCCGATTTAAGGTGAATTAAGACTTTTTAAGACCCTGAGTATCATGATTTGGCTCGTTTCGGTATTTCAGTTGTGTGCGGCAGTGTAACTCAAACTGATGCAATATCAGCAAATGTGACAACAAGCTGGAGCAAACAGATAAAACTCACTCTGCAAGATAATTGTGATGGCGATATAAGATAATATCGTGAATATTGATATAATGTTGATGCTCCAGTGTGTATTTGTGTGAGCGCTCTGTGAAGAGCATCAAAGGTTTCTATTTATGATGTGTTTTTGCAGCGTTGAGCAAAGTAGCCAATCACGGACATTTCTGTTGAGCATGTGAACGTAATGACCAATCAGATGTTCCGAATCCACTCAACAGTGTTGAAAACGCTGGAGTTTGTTTAGAGCGACCTCTAAACGAGTTCAGCCAAAGCACATTCATGAATCTCTGCATTATAAGAAAACAACACAATGCAGATAAGAGATTCATTGTGCAGTGTTGTCCGCTTCAGGGATTATAATGGGAGCACTCTATGAACATAATAGACATTGCAAAGTTTCTGGATTGACAACCTTATTTAAATGGTGGATTGAATCCGACAGTGATAAGCAATGTAACGGATGGGGGGAAATAAACTGATACTGTAGCCCATGTCAAAGATCTGTGCATTAAACGCAAACTGTATAGTTTGCATTTAAAGTGTAAATGCAAAGTAATAAATCTTGACACTTGTTCTATGTAATGTTTCGATTTTTCTAGGTAGATTGCACATTTTGTATAATGCAATAGTAGTTATTCAGTAATAGTTCAATAATAAAAAATAATTTTATTTGGATCTATTCCGTTTTACTGAGTATGGAGCACTGAGAAGTGCTGTTGTTTATATATTTATGCTTGAAAGATTAATTTAGCAGTTATCTTTTGAGGCTGCTTATTTGTCACCTATCTTATTGATACCGAGGTATTAGACCCGGTATTGTACCGAAGCCAAAATTGTGGTATCGAGCCAACCCTACTGCTAAATAATTGAACAATCATGAGGTTTAAAAAGTAACGTCTGCATAGAAATGAAAAGAGACACCATGTATATATATATAAAATAATAATATAATAAAACAAAATGTTTGGTAAATATATATAGTTTTTATATCATTTAAATGCATTAAAAATTAATAAATAATCACTTTAAATATTTAATATGTATTTATTATTAATAACTTATTTATACTATTAATAATATTTATTTATTAAATATTAGAATTTTTTTCATGATTTTTAATTTAATTTAAGACTACTTTTGCACCCTGCTGGATGTGTGAAGGTTTCTTACCAGCTTGCTCCTCCATGCTGCTGGTGCTGCCGCCTGGATCCGCAGTCTCTTTGACGTACCAGTACGACGACATATTTCAGGCTGCAAGCTGCCGTGTTATTCGGAAGACGTCTTTTTTGACTGAAGATACATAAAATGCCCCTTCAGGAACAGACTGCATGACATCCATCCATTTGTTTGTCTTCAAAACAAAACACAGAGACAAGTGAAACGTAACCAGACAACATTATGAAGAATGCAACACAATATTGATCATTTTGGAATATTAATTGCATTGCTTCATTAAAGATAAACACTGACTGCATTAAGGTAAATCATAAAACATGTCACAGACTTGTTGCTTTTGACATTAAAGGCAACATGAAATAAAGTTAAACTCTTTTTAATACACATTCCTGGTCTCATTTATTAGTACAGGTAAAAGAAAAAAGAAAAAAACTGTCTTTGTGATCTTCTTCTTTTGAAATGCACTCTTTTAACGGTGCAAGTTGTGTTCTTGTTGAATATCCGTTCTCTCTCAGAAATAGCAGTTTGTGGACAATGTTTTATTTGAATATGAAAATCCAGCAAGGAAGCGACACAACAGGCATCTGAGACTTGCAGTTCCTCGAACATAATGCCACTGCCAATCTTTTTATAGAAGTCCAATGTTAAGGAAGTCTACTGATATTTCGCTTTCAATTATGAGAGCAAGAAGCCAGCCCAATCCATAGGCCAGCTGTCCATTTGACCAGTTCTTCCAGACGTCTACAATCCACTGCAAGAAGCTGGCGCATCCAGCAAAACCCTTTTTCAGAGTGTTGTGCCAGCTGAAGACGTGACTCATTTTTCCTTGGCTTGAGGTCATTGGTCATTTGGTTACAAACAAAACAAGCTTTCTTTTGTGAGTTACAGTAGGCTACATTGAATTTTAACGAGTGACCTCTGCAGCGCTGGTACGACCCGACACATTTTGACTCTCATTTTGTAATTAAATGTTTTGAAAGAATGGACGTGTGTCCCATGAAATCAAGCACACCATAGTAAACATTCAATACCACATTAAAGTATCGAATGGTACCAGTACTTAACTGGCCAGAATTATACTCCAGCTATTAAAGTTTACAACTCTGTTTAGTCAAGCAGAAGACACCGGGGCTAGTTGTCACATACACTGCAGTGATTCTTTCCCACTGTGTGTTTAATTTTAAACTTTTAAGCTGCTTTAGACACAAACTTTAACTGCAAAAATATGAATTATTAAACATTTATATTGTTATCCCCAAATCATTTGGCCCACTGAACACACTCTGGCCCAATAGCAGGTCATGCTGTCACAATATCCTCCTGAGGACCAGAAATTTTTGGGGTGAATTTTTTTTATGTCATTACATTGGTTGGAGCATAAGAAACAAACGGAGAAATTTTTTTTTTGAAAAAAATATATTTTATTCATATTTTAAGTCCTTTGTAGAGAACGCCAGGACTGAGTTATTAAAAAAAAGAATAAAAATAGACATGAAAAGGCATGAATAGCCAAAAACGATGTTTTATTTTTTTCATTCACCAACCAGTTTTTAGGTTTCAGGCTATTTTTAACCAAATTTTGTACAAAGATGATTCTCAATGTTATGAAAGATATAACAGAATGATTTGATATACCATTATGCAATATGTGCGTAAAATGTCCAGAAATTGGTATTCCCATTCTATACAATGTATCTATACACTGCATCTGATTAGCATATTAATGTTCCTGTGTTCCCCCAAAATTCCTGATTAACATGCTGTTTGTCCTGGTGTCCTCTACAGAAGACATGTGAGAAAATGATACCGTTTCATATAACAAAAAACCATATTCCGATTTGAAACCCACAACACTGAGATGTTTTTCTTTTTACGACAAACAATTTGAAAATTTGCCAGATTTAAAGGATAATTACAAAATATTACCATATGAGTGCTAAATTTGACCATTCTGTCAATTCAATTAAAAGACTAAGGAGAGGGAGTGTTTATGATCAAACCTCCAAACATCTGATATCTCTAAAAAAAATCCCTGAATGTGCTCTGTACAGGACATCTAGACTTAAAACTGTGGCATGTAGGGTCTCAGAGAAATTCACTCAAATATAATGTCCTCTACAGAGGACAGAAGTCTATGCCTGGGTCCCAGGCGGATGTACGGGGTAAGTTGTCACAGTGTATGTCACTATATGCAAACTTTAAGCATTAAAACAATCACAAAAACGAAACGATTAATGAACAGCACGAACACTTCAACATGCAAAACCACTGCTAAAAAAACAAACAAACAAACAAACGCACCTATGGACTTCTGACTCCAAACCTCAGAGTTACTGAGATTTGTGGCAACTTCCCCGTGTGACAACTTGCCCCAGTCTCACCTGTTCGTCTGTTTAGCGTATCTCACCTGCACGACGCGCTAGATCTACAAACAAGGCTGTGCGCGTGTTGCGTCGCGAATAACGCAGTTAAGGTGAGTATGCAGAGTCTAGTCAACATCAGAAGATAGTTTAGCGTACTTACCACACACTTGAATACAAGACCTGTGCTGTAAACCGCGGACTAAAGCGGGGCGCCTCTGCTGCTTTCGGTTTGGATTCGCACGGATCACACCACTGATCTCTACTTCCTGATCTGACTCTGAGAGACACACTTTCCTGAGGAGCCGAGAGCCAGTCACAGTCTGCTCCGCCTGCTCTCTGTCGAACCTGCGGGGGATTTCCGTAGACTTCTGCTGTTTCAGGTCATTTAGGTTTGTAGCCCACCTAAAAGTTGTTACAAACCTGTAGGAATGTCTTTCTTCTGCTGAACACAAAAAAAAATATGTCTGGATATTTTATGGAGAAAAAAAAACAAAAACAATGGGGACCAGCAGTTGTTTGGTGACCCACATTCTGTATCATACAATACTGTATCATCTTTTGTGTTCAACAAAAGAAGGAAATTCTTTCTCGTATATTTGTACACGCACAGAAACCTGTTTACATGATTATGTAACATTACATGATTATTAGCGAAATGATTTGCCCTGTTTATATTACCTCGAGCGTCCTCACAAGGCTTGTTTCACTGTATGTGTGTGCACGTGTTCAAACATTTGGCCCTGGGGTGTAGAAACAAACATTAATCTATAGCCTGCAAAAGAGGACACACTAGATCTCCATTTATATACGGCTATTTGTTCAACAATTAGACTTTTAGAGGGGTTCAGAGGGCTTGATTAAAAAAAATAAAAAAATAAAATTAAACTTTTCTTTTTGTAATCTACAAGTCATATTAAAACATTTTTTATAGCCTTCTCTGCTGATTTTCTAAAATATTTTTTCAATGTTTTTATTTTTAAAATGCTAAAAAAACATTTTTTTACAGTTTTCCTCCACTTTTTATGGCCTTTCCTGATACATTCTTTAAATATATTTTTTTCAATGTATTTTTAAAATTCTAAAAATACAAAAATCAAGATGTAGACTGAAATTAAAACCTTTCTTTTCTTTTTTTTTTCTTACAATTTTGCTCTACTTTGTATTGCCTTTTCTGCTGAATTTAGATTTTTATGTATGTATGTCTTAGTGTTATTTTTTATTGATTTTTAAATTTTATTTTCAATGTTTTTATTTTGGAAAAACTGAAAACACACAAAAAATATCAAGATGTGGACTGAAATCATATTTCTTTAACCCCCCTTTCAATAACTATTGTTTTTATCGAAAAGAATACAGGAAAAAAATAAATAAATAAAGAATCAGTATTTTGTATCTAAATCTAAAATGAATCTTGGTTAATTTGATTTAATATATACATACATATTACGTGTGTGTGTTTACTTCTAGTACAACAGATCAAAATGACAAAAAACATGAATTTTTATTTATTGATTGATTCAGCTTTTATTTTTTTTAAATCAATAGCTATTTAATAAGTCAAAGTAAACAATATATTTTAAGCAATAACATTGATTCACCTGTCATAGGATGTGTATGTACATTTAGAAAATTCTAATTATACATTAATATATGCAGGGCAACACACTGTACATATACAGTGCAGAAATGTATTCATCAATTCAGTTTGCATTCAGCATCACAAAGAGAATGTAGTAACAGTTACATCATTTCTGCAATTCTGTTTGGTGCCACTAGTGGAGCAGAGATGACTTAATTAAATTTAAACCTCAGGTTTAAGACGGATTACATGATTATTTATCAAATGCAATCAGAAACTCGGATTTTTACACATAAAAGACTATCCTTGGTAACATATTTAGATTTTAGCTGCCATGACAGGAGACCTTTTAAAACCTCGAAGACGAACTGAACCTCCAAAACAAAAGAAGCAAAGCCTGTGTGGAGGTGAAAATGGTTTGCATGTGAATCTATAGCAATAAAATATATATATTTTAGTAAATACTGAGAGATGATGGATGACTTTGCTTGATAATAAAACATCCGAATTAAATAAAAGTAAAAAAAAAACACAAACTTTCTTTTCAATCTGTACAGCACATCTACATGAAATAAACAGAAAGGAGCTGACGTGAGACTGAAGGTAAAGCCAGAGTTTCTTCATCTGTTGATTGGCAGATCACAGTGTCAGCTGCTCGCGGAGTTTGATAGTGATGGCTTTGACCTCGGTGTACTCTGCCAGCGCATACTCACCCCTGCACACATGCAATATTGATACTCTTAATATTGTTCATGTGAAGGGCATTTGCATGCATAATCACAGGAAAATAACCTTTTCCAACTCTACCCTACTGTATCATATTTGATAAGCAAATTAAATTATCAACACGATCATGACTTTGCTGAAAAACCTGTTGAACACAATCTGCATGCCTTCTGTCGTCTGTTTATACATTTGTAGCAAGTAAAACAATTATATTTTTAGTACTGTAAAATCTTTACTGACTTTTCATAAAGTAAATGTAAGATTAACTTTCATATTGTTAGTAATATTTCAAGATGAACATTAACTGGACTGAAACAACTTAGGTTTACTTGATTATCCATACATCAGGCTTTTGAGGAAGGTTTATTTGTTCGTCTCTCAATCATCACTTTATTGCATTGCATTATATGTTCTGAAACTACAGAGCTTTGATCACTAAGAATTTAAATATCATCTTTTATATTATTATTTATATCATTTGATGTCAGTAGCCTGCTATACTGTTATAAAGATCTCCTTGATTTACATTACTACTTTTTGTTCATATAAATATCAGCATATGCATCAAATTGCATATTTTTGCTCCGTTTTGGCCTCTGAATAAAACAGGTGTTTTTTCCTCGAGTTTGAGCTCCGTATTCTCACTATATCAAACTGTTTAATTGTAGGATCAGATCAAGAGGGTGGAAGATGGTCGTGAAAATCAAAAGCTACGGTGCACAGATCTCTGCTAACACTAAAAGTAGATCTCAGGGAAACAAAACGATTAATAGAAATGCATGTTCACATGATTAGACTGCAATGAGTGGAGGTAAAGACAGCGGCACTCACAGCTCTCGGCCGTTTCCTGACATCTTGAAGCCTCCGAACGGAGCTTGAGCATGTAAGGCGTTGTAGCAGTTCACCCTGGAGAACAGAAAGAGACGTGACCTTTGACCTCTCCTGGTAAATATCAGCTATCAGCAAAAGGCCAAACATCACCACCTGGTGGCCAATTCATACATTTAGGTCAGAGAGGACACAAAACTATGCATGTTTTATTATGTATTATAATGATATATTAGTGCTGTCAAACGATTAATCGCGATTAATCGCATCCAAAATAAAAGTTTTTGTTTACATAATATATGTGTGTGTTGTGTATATTTATTATGTAAATACACACACATGCATGTATATATTTAAGAAAAATATGTTACGTTTATATATTAAGTATCTTTATATATGATATAAATTATATGAATGTAAATATATACATGTAAATATTTACAAAATATATGCTGTATGTGTGTTTATTTATATATACATAATATACGCAATACACACATATATTATGTAAAAAAAAACTTATTTTGGATACGATTAATCGTGATTAATCGTTTGACAGCACTATTATATATATTTATACATTACATAATTATGTATATATTAATATATACGTGCGTGTGTTTGTATACACTGCCATTGAAAAGTTTGGGATCAGTAAGATTTTTTATATTTTTTTCATGTAAAGTCTCTTCTGCTTACTAAGGCTGCATTTATTTGCAGAAAGAAAACACTAATATTGTGAAATATTATTGCAATTTAAAATAACGCTTTTCTATTTTAATATACTTAAAAATATCATTTATTTCTGTGATGCAAAGCTGAATTTTCAGCATCATTCCTCCAGTCTTCAGTGTCACATGATCCTTCAGAAATCATTCTAATATGCTGATTTATTATCAGTGCTGGAAACAGCTGTGCTTTACTATCACTTTTCATCAATTTAACACATCCTTGCTGGATAAAAGTATTATTTTTTTTTTATTATTGTCTTTTCATTTCAAGTTTTCTTTTTTATTTCTATAATTTTGTGCACATCTCCTTCATAGGCGGAGTTTGGATTGATTTTGCCAGAGCTATTAATAAAACAAATATGTTCACATTTTCTTTGTATAATCTTATTATTTTAATGAGTAAGTTAAGGCTAAATTATTTTTAATTAACGTTTTTAAAAAGAAGCTCTATACTCTCGCGACTCGCTTGGACTCCCTTCTCGTTCTGTTCCCGCTTTAGCCTGCAGAGATATGCTAAATAAACAAAATGGATATTTGTCGTTTTTTTTAATAAACCCACAACTAAAAGAGTGGAGGTCTCTAACTCTGACACTTACAATATTTATTATGACACAGCAAAAGAGGCGGATTCTTCTACATTAGGTAAAATATACGTTTTTATTCCACTCTTTGTATAGCCTACCAGTCATTGTTAATTGTAAATGTATCTTAAATGAAGAAGAAATTAATAATTGAAATGTAAAAAATATTGTATATACGGTATGTAAAAAAAAAAAAAAAAAATTGGAGCTCGTGGTCTGCCGGTAGGTGCCCCCCCTTTATTAGAGTAATTATTATTAAATTAGATTGCCTTATACTGTTCATTCTTCTCTGTAAGATATCAGTATTAAAAACCCATATTGGTCAACCACTAGATGTTGTATTTATTTTGATTAGTGTAAAGGTGTGTATTTTTCTAGTGTAAAAGAATTGAACAGCAAGAGTCTCTGACCAGACGGTTCCAGCCTCCAGTGCCGCAGACACGCTCATGGCGCGATGGACGTCCCGCGTGAAGACAGCCGCCGTCAGGCCGTACTGTGAGCTGTTGGCTCTGTCGATCACCTCCTCCTGCATCTTAAACTTCATGATGCACTGAACTGGCCCAAAGATCTGCAAAACACACACATCAGCGCAACACTAATCTACAGGGGCTTACAGGAATAGTGCAGGGATAATGAGCATTACGCCATTATTCATTCACTCGCACGTCATTCCAAAGCTGGACGCTCTTGGTTTTTATGAGAAAAACTAAAGGAGCTTGTTTCCATTCAACAACAGTTCATTATGATCACGTCTTTCAAGCTCCAAAAAGGACAAAAAATAAAACATAAACGCACAAGGTTATCATATGACTTCAGAAGTCAAATACTTTTATGAGACTTTTATGGTGTTTTTTGTCCTTTTTGGAGCTTGACAGACGTGGTCATATGAGCGCTTGTGGTACAGAAAAGAGCCGAATGAAGATTCTTCAAATCTCATTTAATGTGCATTGAAAAATAAAACAGCAGATAGGGTTGGAATGACATGAAAATAAAAAAAAGGTTTAGGTCTCTTTTGCTGTTAGATGCATATTTTTTAGTCATTCAGCTGAGAGGATAAAGCAGAATGTCTTTATATCAGCAACAGCAAAATGGGAGAATAACTATGCCTTACTTTAAAAGGAAATATTATAGATTTATATTATTATTATAATGTTATTGTTGCTGAAACTATGTATATATATACCGCATGATTGGATAAAAATGAACGAAATGTTTAAAGTTAAATATGTATATTTAAATATAAAAAATGTATCGAAATGTATAAAAAAACATAAAAATTGGTATATATACTGTATGATTAGAAACATGAAAATTTTAAGTTAAATATTTTAATATATAAAATAAATATTTAAATATATAAAAATGTTAAGAATGTATAGAAATAAAAACATAACAATTGGTATAATATGGATTTATATTATTATTATTATTATTGCTGCAACCGTTGACATACTGAATGATTAGAAACATGAACGAAATTTCAAATTTAAATATATATTTAAATATTTTTAAATACAATTATATATACATATATAGATAGATAGATAGATAGATAGACTGATAGATAGACTGATAGACTGATAGATAGATAGATAGATAGATAGATAGATAGATAGATAGATAGACTGATAGACAGACAGATAGACAGATAGATAGATAGACTGATAGACTGATAGATAGACTGATGGATAGATAGATAGACAGACAGACAGACACACATAGAGTTGATCACAGGTCTATAATAGCACAATCATCCAGCAGGGGGCACTACAGGACATTAATTCAGATTTCTGTCACCTAAAGATCTCTATGGGTAGCTCAGAATTAAGGTTATGTAAATTAACCTAAGATAAATTACCTCCCATTAATTTTTTTTTAATATTTAGGGTTCACTGAATACTCTGACCAGTAACACACACACACACACACACACATATATTGTGTGTGTGTGTGTGTGTGTGTGTGTGTGTGTTGGGGGGGAGATTCTTTCATCTAAATAGGACAACTGTAGGTTTTTAAATAAGGAAAAATATTTTTGTAATTTTAAGGGGGGAAAAAATACCAATTTAAATAAAAATTCACATTTAAATTTTAACAATTGTATTACACCTGCCCTACATGTAGCTGTGTTTCCATATGTTTTACTATTGAAAGTGCACATACATGAAAGTGCACAGAGGAGTGTCGTACCTCTTCTTTGGCAATACGCATGTGGTCTTTGACATCAGAGAAGATGGTGGGATGGATGAACAGACCTCTGTCCTCCACCGCACAGCCTCCGCACTCCAGCGTCGCCCCCTCCTTCTTCCCACTGGCCACCAGCTCCAGGATCTTATCAAACTGATGCTGGTCGATCTGACCGAAGAGCAGAAATACATTAGAAATCTGCATAGAAGAAGAGAAATGACTCACAAGTTAACATACGTAGCTCACCTGCGGCCCGTGTGAGGTTCGTGGCTCCATAGGGTCTCCGATAGCTATATTTTTGGCTCTTTCGACACTGAGACGCACAAACTCGTCATAAATTGGCTCTTCCACGTAGACGCGTGATGCAGCGGTGCACGCCTGACCCTGGTTGAAGAACGAGCCCTTCTGCGTCTCCTCCACCGCCGACTGCACTGCACACACATACACACACACTTTATACAACACACTTACTCTTTTCCCATGTTTTGTTTGTTTCTGCGCAACTGCAGTGCATTACGCAGCGGTGCCGATGTTCATGCTTAGATTCATTTGTAAACTTGATAACATCATGCATTATACCATTACACCCTTTCTGGAGTTTAATGAGCTGTGCATTGGCGTAAATCTGGGTTTGTGTGCAGATGTGAACATGCATGATAATAGACGCGAGTGAAGCAGCGAGTTCACAGCTGCACGGGTGGTCTGGAGTATTGCAACATCACTGGGGCTGAATAAACTTCAGCCAAAAAAAGCCTAACCCCTTTAGAAGTACAACCCGCACCACAATCAAATGCACTCGAATGAACTTAAATCACTGTATATTAGTCTAATATGTACTGTGTTTAGCCGCTTAACCCTATAAAGCCTACTGTGTCATATTTGATATATATACAGTACTATGCAAAAGTCAGGCCAATAGTATTTTCACCCAAAAAAAAAGTAAATAAAAAGGTTTTAAGCCAGTTATTTCTATCTTTTGCTGTAGTGTATCAGTAGGAAATATCAGTTTACATTTCCAAACATTCCTTTTACCATTAATTGTAATAACCCAGTGAGATTTTTGTATGCACAAGGAGTCTGACGACAGCCAGTGCTGCACACAGAGATCTGATCTCAGCATCATCATCCAGTCCGTCTGCGATTACATGAAGAAACTGAAAAATCTGAGACAGACTAAATCTAGAAGAACTGTGTCAAATATATAGAAGCCTTTAGGCTTGTCAGGGTAATTAAGTAATTTACATTTATGCATTTGGCAGACGCTTTTATCCAAAGCAACTTACATTGCATTCAAAGTATGCACTTTATCAGTTCATGCATTCCCTGGGAATTGAATCCATGACATTGCTATAGCATGCTGAACTGTCTGAACTACAGAAAGACCTGTCAAAAATGTCTGAATGTCATTGCATTAGATGAAAAATGACAAATGCACTCAGATGCTGCAGAAGCTTCACTACACTTAATATTCTGAAATCAAGATGCATTTACTTTAGAAGCATAATGACATACAATATTAAGTTTTGTTTGCTGAAAAATGTATCAAAACTAAGTGAGATGGGGTAAGAAAAATAATCTTAATTCATAGGAAAAACAAGATTATTTTTCTTGCCCCATTGGCATATTATTTTTGTTGTTGTAATTTTTAAGCAAAAAGTCACTTAGTTTTGATAAATTTTTCAGCAAAAAAAACTTAATAGTACATGTCATTATGCTTCTCAAGTAAATGTATCTTGATTTAAAAATGTTTAGATATTTGTAATGGAAAACAAGACAAAATACTATTAGTAGTAAGGAAATCATTTTTTGCAACGTTTCTTTTCATTGCCATTTTTGATCAGCTGGTGTTTTGCTGATTTTTAGTGGATGTATAAATTAACTATGAACATGTTCCACTAATGAGCCACAAACACTAAATCTTTTGCATTATCATTTAAAACCTGACAAATTGGTTTTATACCTTACTAAGGTTTCAGATCATGTTCATTTGAAGGAATATATTTAATTAAATCAATTACAATATTATTCTGATCGTATATGCAAAAATGAGTAATGTTGTATTATAACAGTGCAATATTTGAATTCGTTTTCATTTTAATACATTTGATAAAAAAATGCATTTTTAAAGATGCACAATTTTTTTGTTTTCATCGCAACCCTAAAATACCATAGAATAGTACATTTAGATTTCAATTTTTGAATCTAGCAAATATACTAGAAGAAAACAATCCAAAAGAGAGACACAATTCATTTCAATCCATTCTTTGTTTTTTTATTGTATCTATTTATATATGTATTCATTTTATTTTTTATTCTAATTTATTTGTGTTATTTTGTTTCATTTCATAAAAAGTAGCAAATTATGCAACAACAACAACAAAAAAAGCTCAATGCCACAATGGATCAATGAAAATCAAATATTCCAGAGAGCCATGCAATACTTTATTATACCCCTAACAAACTTGCAAATGCTTGATTAACGTGTGCTGTTTTCCTATAAAATGAATGCACTTGGTTTTTGTTTTCTAATGCAATGACATTCAGACATTTTTTTAAGTGTCTCTTACGTGTCTAAATACTTTCCCCTCTTTTAAATAGAGACCTGCAGCTCTTCATTTGGGAGGATACTGCACATATCGCTCCCATTCCCTGTTTTTCCCAGCGTGGTCATTATTGTCTGAGCGGTGGGATCTGGAAAACCACATCACTCACGGTCTGAGTCAGCAAACACAATGCAGGGGTTCTTCCCTCCCAGCTCCAGAGTCACTCTTTTCAGGTTGCTCTTGGCCGCCGCCGCTTTGATCAGCTGGCCCACCTGAACACAAACACAGCGCAGGACAATAACCAGAGCGCTCACTAATGATGCCTCCACAAGCCGCTCTGCTTGTATGTGATTTATGAATATCAGCTGGTTTGTTATATAGATAATGATGAGGAAACTTGCCCAAAACAGCAAAGCGCTTTGAAGCATTACAGTTCAAAGCACCGAGATTCAGCTCACATGAACAATGTTGGTCTTTACCTACAGCACTGATATATGAACAAAATGGTTTAACAGTATTTGAGGTGTGACACAACATTTCCAGGGGAACTAAATCTTAACGTGACATCTCAAATGTATCTGGTAATCTTCTCGGCAATCTAAGTGGCTCATATGGAAATAAATAAATAAATGTTCATATAAAATGTATTTCAAAATACACCAAAAATTGTGAAGATATGAAAAAAAAAAGCAAAGATATACACTGAAAAAAGATGTAGTATTTATACACTGAATTAGACATCAACTTTATATATATATATATATATATATATGTGTGTGTGTATTTTTATATATAAATTTGTAACAAATTTACAATATATTTGCATTGAATTAACAACATTTTGAAGTACAGAGACAAAAAATAATTATATATATATAATTTACAATTTACACATTTTATTTTAGATATATTTTCAATTTAAATATATTTCTGTTAGCCAGAATATATTTAAAAAAATGCACTGGAAGACCGTAAATGTATTTTCATGCCGTTCAGAGTACATTTTGGCATTTCAAGGTCTAAATAAAATATATTTTTAATTTAAAAAATATATTTCTCTAAGCTGCACTGCTAACCATATTTATTTAAAATGTATATTTTTTGGCAGAAAAAAAAGACTCTTACTGTGTCAATAACTGCATTTGTGTCACTCAAATGTGTCTCTTCATCTCTGCATTTCTCTTAAGACTTTGAGCAATATGATTTTGCTGAGCTTATTCCCATCATTTCCTCACCTCTGTAGAGCCTGTAAATGCCACTTTGTCGATGTTCATATGACTGGCGATTGCCGCTCCAGCCGTTGGTCCAAACCCAGGTACGATATTCACGACTCCAGGTGGAAAACCAGCCTGTATGACATGATGGAAAGAACAGGCTTTATTTGTATTATTTATAAAAACATGCAAGCTTAATACTTAATACTTTCCTCTAAAGGAGGAGGCATGAATAGGTCAAAAAATTGCCCACGGGGACAGAGACAGCAAGACTGCTGATGTACACAAAGAGATGCTTTTCTTTTGAGGATTTAAACCACATTGATCTCATTCATAATGATGAAGACATAAATCATCTCTTTTTTAGATACAGACGGCTTCAATAGAAAGCGACTGAAGGCTTGCAGCTGCAGTTTAGTCCATGTCATGTCATGTGTCCTGCTCTCTTTGAAGAATTAAACATGATAATTAGAGCGTTTTGTATAAACAGCAACAACTCATTACACACAATGTCATTTTGTAATACAGCCAGGTTCCCAACCGGGTTTATACCCCTCTAAGGTTGCAATTCTTGTTCAAATGATGGAATAAATATATTTAATTTATTTAATTACTAATTTTTTCATATAAGATCAGATAGCGTAATGTTGTATTGTAATAGTGTAATATTTTGAGTAGTTTTTATTTGAGTGCATTTTATTTTTATTTTTTTACATTGTAACTTTAAAAAAACTAATAGTACCTTTAGATTTTATAAATTTATGAATCTAGCAGACAGCCTAACTTTTAGCCACTGTTATGTGTTTTTTTTTTAATATATGTTTTATTTTATTATATCTTTTATTTGATAAAAGTAACAAATTATACAAAAATATGTTTTATTTTATTTTTATATTATTTTATTTATTTTTATATTTTTTATTTACTTATAAAAAGTAACAAATTATAAAAAATGTGCAACAAATTACACAAAAATTTGCTTTATTTTATGCTATTGATTTTTTCTTTATTTTATTTCATTTTATAAAAAGTAACAAATTATACAAAAATATTTGCTTTATTTTATATTTTATTCATTTTTTAAAGTAACAAGTTATACAAAATATTTGCTTTATTATTATATTTATTTTGCTTTATTTTGCTTTATTTTATTTTATAAAAAGTAACAAATTATACAAAAATAATTGGCTTAGTGTTACAATGGACCAATCAGAATCAAGTATTCCAGAGACCAGTGTAATACATTATTATATTACACTGGAGTGCACAAAACCTCTGCCAAACATTAATTTGGCATCATAATCCAGATCCATCATGAAGCCACAGTTGGGAAACACTGGCTTACAAAATCTGGGATGCGAGAAAGGCAATGCTGATGCAATCAATCATCAATGTCCATGTGAATAAAATCTACTCAACAAACGAGAATGCCAAAGCAAAGCAATCCCATGAACCCCCGCTGCCCCCTCACCTCCTTTATGAGTGCTCCGACGTGAAGAGCCGTCAGTGGGGTCTGTTCAGCCGGTTTAATGACCACCGTGTTCCCGCAGGCCAAAGCCGGCGCGATCTTCCACGTAAACATCAGCAGAGGGAAGTTCCACTACAAATACAGAAGGCATTAAAACCGATTACGTTAAGGAATAGTTGACAACGGATTGTTGAATTACTAGAAAATAATGCACACCCGAGGTGGTACCGTATTTCGCGGAGTGGCCGTTCCACCTCAGGTGTGCATTATTTTCTAATAATTCAACGGACCGGAGTCAATTATTCCACTTATACTACGGTTACCCCGAGCCAATCCTCCCTATACGCAAAATACGCAAGCTGCGTGGGGCCCCTGAAACACCAGGGGGCCCCCTTGCTCTCAAAGATGATTTAATTTTAGTTTCGTTTTTGAATTTGGCCAGCGGTTATGAAAACATGAATGATCATTTCTTTTAATGCTGTGCGCTGTCGCCCTTTCTATGTAAAAATCAGTCAAATCATGTAATGTGAATGTCGTACAGTCTTGCTCGAGACTAAAAAACAAGTTGAAAGCATACCGAGCCGCGGAAGAGACACCGTTTCTCACCGTTTCACACGGACACACCGTTTTTTTCCATTGTCCAATCGAATGAATGGAGAGGCGGGACTACCGTTGTGGTGACGGAAGTTTACAGTTGCTTGGAATGTCCGGAGACTGCAATGATGGAGGAGAAACTTTTGGTGGCCGTTGCGGGTTACCCGGAGTTTCTGCTAATATGACAGTTTACTTAACAGCAAACCAAAGATTTTAGAGCGCTCGCGCTATAATCCTTGATTAGACTGACAGGACAGCTGATTCGGTGGTTGCCTAGCAACATAAAAAACCCCGCAGCGTACTACTCTTTTCTAAATTAAAAAAAGTCAATCAAAAAAAGGCAGTGCAGTGCGCCTTGCATTTTCAAACATGAAAAAAATGCATTCTGTCTGATTCGGGGCCTAATGCAGTTCAGCTGAAGTGCCTTGAAATGCTCAGCATTATTCAATGTGTTGATGTAATTTCAAATAAAACAGGAAGACAGGGTGGTACATAATGATCAGCCCCTCCCCTTTTGTGAATAGCCAATAGTGTTTCGTTTATATCACAGCTCGCCCAGAGCCGTCGGTTGAGCTCGGTAAAGCCACATTTGACAGCTTATGACAGGTACAGTGTAATACAGGGGTGTCCACACTCGGTCCCTGAGGGCCACCGTCCTGCAGAGTTTAGCTCTAACTTGCCTTAACACACCTGCCTGGATGTTTTTGGCATGCCTGGCAAGACTCTGATTAGCTGGTTCAGGTGTGTTTGATTAGGGTTGGAGCTAAACTCTGCAGGACACCGGCCCGACTGAGTTTGGACACCCCTGGTGTAATAGATTACCCCTTCAGATTCACTATACTGTACAACTGCTACTAATGCCGGAACAGACTGCGGCGGTTTGCCTCACACAACGCAAAACCAGACCTAATTCGCCCCAATAGAAAGCATATATACACTGAATCTGATCCCATCTGATTACACTGAGTCTGAATCTTTCCCTATCCCTAGTGCACAATGTGCAGCAGCGTCTCTAATAATAATAGCGAAACTGTACGTTCACCTGCTTCAACAACAGCGCCGTTATTACCTCCCTAGTGAGAAATGTCATGTAGATTTAAATGTGCTAAATGTTTTTACTGATAAAATCGTCAGAGCAGCGCTGACAGCACGTTTCTGTGCGAGTGTGTGTCTAGTATCCACCGTATTTTTCCCGTAAGACTGGGCACAGCCATTTGTAATTTTTATGTGTCTGGCTTCCGGTGTCATCCGTGTACAGCAATTTTTTTACTCTTCAACAGTTACGCTATAATGCTACTGCAAAAACGGAAGTTCAAAGAAAATTCGAAAGATGGCTGTGCACTTGTTTCTCTGACGCATAAAATTAAATAAACAAACAAATGTACATCAGTAAAGCTGTACTAGTTTGATTACAGTCTGAATGCTACTGAACTGGGATTGTTTTTCGAAACAGCAAACAAAGAAATTGAGTGCTGCGGCCTGTGGGTGTTCCTGTGTGGTTGTTATGCGGTATCTAGAGTATTATGTGTAATTGAGGCTAAAAAAAGAAGCAGAAAAAGCTTGTGAAAAAAGTGTGGCATGCACATTGAAGGTACCTCAGCCGTCTTTCAATACAAAAACACACCATCAAGTCTAATTGGTGTTCTTTGTTAAACTAGTTACATAAATATGTACACAAATCTCTTGTTTACTAGTAGAGTATCTTTTTGGATGTTGTCATGGCAATTAACCATGTTTCTGGATTGCATTTTCACTTTTCTTATTTTTCTTTCTGAGTGACTCATGTGAACGCTGAATGCCAGCGTTGCTTTCTCTAATTACCACCAAACCAATTCCAAATATGAATAATGGCTTTATGATATAATCTCCAGTGTCTATCAACAGTTTGTGCTTTGTTTCCAAAGCAACGTAAGACAATAAAAAGGCATTTTCATTTATGAAATAAGATTCTTGGAAATCCTGATTTGATAATTGATTTGTTGGATTTTGTAACTTACGAAAATTGAGACAATATGGCGTATCAACGATGACACTTCAAACAAGCCCTTTAATTATGATAACTTTGTTTATTATTATTAGAACAAAGATGACTCCCCTATGGATGTAGGGCATTCAATTAAACTAGATAGATTGTTTTAAAAAGGTATTGGCAAAAATTTTGCAAAATTCACTGTCACAATGTTTGGGTTTTCTTTGTGGTTTCTAGGGTGTGAATTAAATTCAGAATTAATTAAGCTTTGTATAATTTTTTTTACCCTAGGTTGTTGGGTGGTTGCTAGGGTGTTACATAACATTCATAATTTTGAAACCAGTCAGAACACCCTAGCAACCAATCTAAAAACCCTAGCAACACCCCAACAACCACCTAGAAATGGCACTGCAACCACCCACATCTCCTTAGCATTGTGGTGGCCTACCCGAAACGCCCTAGCAACCACTCTGAATAACCTAGTAAGCAACTAACAACCACTCAGAAAACCCTAGCAACACCCTAACAACCACCTATAAATGCCATTGCAACCATCCACAACACCTTGGCGATCTACCACCTAGAAATTCCCTAGCAACCACTCAGAACACCCTAGAATACTACCCAGAAAACCTAGCAACATCCTAGCAACCACTCAGAAAACCATAGTAACACCTCAATTAAGGTGACAGTATTAAACAGGATTCAAACAGATTTATTTACCTTTATTTATTTAGGTGGTTGCCAAGTTGTTGCATTCCATGCATAACTTGTACTGTCTGTAAGCTCCCACCCTAGCAATCACCTAGTGGCTATTCCGAACATCCAAGCAACCACCTTGTAATGCCTTAGCAACCGCTCAGAAAAGCCTAGCAACCTACCACCTAGCAACAACCTAGCAACCACTCTGAAAATCCTAGAACCCACCTGTAAATGGCATTGAAACTACCTACATCTCCTTAGAATTGTGGCAGCCGACCACCTACAAAAACTACCAGCAACCACTCAGAAAACCCTAGCAACCACCTAGCAACACCCCAGCAACCACCTGTAAATGGCTTTGCAACCACCCACATCTCCTCAGCATTTTGGCAGCCTACTACCTAGACATGCCCTAGCAACCACTCAGAACACTCTAGATACCACTCATAAAAGCCTAGCAACACCCTAGCAACCACTCAGGAAACCATAGCAACACCTCAGATAAGGTGACAGTATTAAACAGCATTCAAACAGATTTCTTTTAATTTATTTAGGTGTTTGCTACAGTGTTGCATAGCAACCACCTAGCGACCATTCCTAGCAACCACCGAATATTGCCTTAGCAACCATTAAGAACAGCTTAGCGACCATTTAGTGATGTCATTGTATATTCTATTGAATACACACTTTAGGTATATAATCAGACTACTTTTTGATTACTTTTAGATTACTTTTGACCTAACTCGTTTATCACATTGATTTAAATAGGATAATCTTGTACCATATTGATATAAAAATAGGTTTCCCAAACTTGGGTTCGTGAAGGAACTGCAGGGGGTTTCAAAATAAAACATACTAAAAAAAGATGAAATACTTTGTTTAACTGCATGTCATGTAACCATTAACCAACATCAGAGAATCATGTGTTACTTAATTCTTAAATTATTACCTTAAAATCTCAGGGTTATATCAAGTAAATATATTAGGTGAAAGAGGTTTGGCTGACAAAACAAAAAACAAACCAAAAAAAAGTTTGGGAATTCCTTCATTACATATAAAAAAGAAATAACATGAATTTGTGCATTTTACTGTGTTTGAAAGACAAAAGCCTTCCAAAGACATAGTAATACATGGTTAAATAATCCACTGATAATTCAAATAAAATGAATGTGCTCATCAGTAGTTAATGCAATGTTGAAATGTTAAGAAAACACTTCATAAAATTGAAAATCCAGTGGTCAAATATTATAATTATGAATCATTTATTTCTAGTGTATGAATAATATGTAATCATGTAATCAATAAAAACTAGCTGTAGTCTGTTTATGAGTATTTTAAAATGTAATATAATCTAATTACAAGTACTTCTTTTTTTGGAATCTGGTTACATAATCCAGATAACCTGTAATCAGTTACTACCCAGCTCTGTGTATCTGTACAGTTTTTTAGCGTGTATTGAGATCTTTGGTGGGCGTATGGGAGATATTTAATTACAAGAGAGTTGAATCACACTTTCGTTTCATAGCTCACGGTCACACTGCTTTCTTGTAATTGGAATTAGTGAGGATTTAAATCTTCACAAAAGATCCCCAGAGCACCAATAGAGTGACGTCAAGAGAGAAAACAGCCTCTGGACAGTAAGGAAACCAAATAAGGCCTTGTGGTTTCAGAGAGTCGCGAGCTTTCATAAACATTCATAAGCTTCAATGGCACGTGAGATCATAATACAGTGTGCTGTCTGCGAGAGGGAGCGGTGTATTTGTGTTCGTCTGCGTGTGTGTGTGTGAGTGTGTGTCTCTTTATCCAAGGTGTTTCCTTACATGCATCTGAAAGACTCTAGACAGGCGTTGGCTACAGTATATAAACAAAACCATCATGTATGTGTGATTCGGCGCTCACAGGATCCTATTGTGTTTATGATCTAAACCGTGTCCAAATATGCTTCTTATTTACATTATCTGTTTAAATGCCAATACTGTCAAATTCACAAATGAAGTGCCTTTTACAAGTATTTGAGAATAGGATTAATCAAATAATAAAGCAATTTCATGCTTTATTGCTTATATAGATTACCGTTGTCATACTACAAGCTATTTATAATCGGATGTAGTTAATCTAAAGCTTACACTACAAGCTACTAACAAAATGTACAGACAAGTTTATTTACTTGCATAAATTGATAATAATATAAATGTTTCTTGAGCAGCAAATCAGCATTAGAATGATTTCTGAAGATCATGTGACTCTGAAGACTGGAGTAATGATGCTGAAAATTCAGCTTTTATCACAGAAATAAATTACATTTTAATGCATTTCAAATAGAAATCAAAAAACATTAAATATATTAAAATATGCATATTAAATATGCATTAAAATGCATCATTCAAAATGAACTATATATATATATATATATATATATATATATATATA